AGAGATCTGGCCGGAGGCGGGCCACGAGACGAGATCTATCCGCACCGCGCGCGGGGGAGGGAGGGAGGGGGATCAGGAGGAGGAGGAGGAGGTGCGTGACGTACGCTCGGAGGCGAGGCGGGAGCGGGCGGAGGCGTCGTTGAGGAGGGAGAGGCCGAGGCGGAGGACGGGGGCGGGGCGGCGCGCGCGGAGCCTGCGGGCGAGGGAGAGGTACTCCCAGGCGCCGCCGCCGCCTTGCTCCGCCTGCTCCTCCAGCCGCAGCAGGCGCGCCTCCTCCTCCGCCGCCGTCGCCGTCGCCGTCGCGGCCGCCATGACGAGGGTCCGGGCGTCGGTTGACTCGGCCGGCGGGGGTGGAGACTGGACTGGACTGGGCCGGACCGGGCGGGATTGGGATCGGGGGCTCTCCGTTTCTTTCCGCTTCGGTGCTGCCCGGGGGCCGGTTCGTTATTTCAGTTTGTTTCCCTCATTTGGGTTGGTTTTTCAAGCACCCCCTGTTCCTGTTGGCAGGATTTGGACTCTGAACCCCTACAAAATTTACAATTCGTTTGTTTTCATGTTAATTTTTGTAGAGGTATACGCAGTTTTTATTTAAAACTATAGAGTTACAGTCGTGATGTAACAATTCCTCGATGTATAGAGGTCTTTGAAGTGCACACGGCAGCAGTGCACTCAATGTGTCTGACGAAGTTATATTTTGTTCCCTCCTAATTTTCTGCGAAATGAACTCTCTATCACCCATCAACGATCTGATCTCCACAGCAAGATGCCCATGGGCCGACCGAGCCAAACCATCGCCCGATAAGATGGAGAGAGCCTCTCAAGAGTCCGATTTCATAATGACCAAAAGGGTTGTATCTTGGACAGGAAGAGTCACCCCCGTTACAGTAATGCACTAGCTCATTGATGACGCGCGTTGCTGCGCCCTTCCATTTTACAATGAAAATGATAAGATTTTGCGTAAATATATAAGCATGAAATATGAAAGTTAATCTCACATAAACTTTCTCAATATTGTTCAGTACTTGATGAGTAAAATTGTACATATGTATGGTTTACTTAGAAAATAATAATAGTATTAAGCAAGAAAACATACCAATAATGTTGTTATTGTCCATCAATGCTTTTCATTGGAATGCTTCAAGCACAACATGCCTTGCACGATGACCACAGATGGCATAGAATGGCGGTGCTTCTCTTCAATGTCATCACGTTGCTTAAAAATCCATCAAACATTGCGACCTATTTTTCATGCCCATATATTATCCTGTTATTTTTAATAAAGTAATCTGATCCAAAGTATCAGATCTTGTAGCTCGACTTCATCTATTCTTTAGCTTCAGTTACAAACAATAATTGTCGGGCACTAGTAGAAGAAATATTCCTCTACCGAATAAAGGGTAGCGGATATTGATGTAATATAGTGATCAGATTACCTACATTTTCAGAAATAATGTACAAGCCTTCATCTTGTGCATCACATGACAAAATAATTAGCTAACTGACCAAATTAGTAAAGTCAACCAAGCCGAGTTTATCAGGTAAAATGGAATCAAATTTACATTTGCATATCACATGATTTTGCTCTATAAGCCCAGGGATGAACTTGATGAAATTGAAGACATGTTCTATCCATGAATAGTAACATGCCTGTTTCATTTGATAATCTTGTATTCTGTTCCTGATATGGTCTTGTTAATAACTGGTTTGAAAGCAGACCTCAATAAATTTTTCATCTGCAGTAAATCACACAAGGTAAGCACACAACAAATGTTTGAGAACCCAAGAAAGAACCCAATTCTATAGTTTACACAAAATGTTAGATGCAACTTTCAATGACAGATGACCAACTAAATTTTTTCCCACTATCAAAGAAATGGCCGAATACATTTGAGCAACAGAATCATGTAGAACTAAAATAGAACACCTTAATACCCTAGCTGTTGCTGATTTTCCAATTGGCAAAGTACTAGTCTTATCAAGTCCTTTGTACACAGTGTAGAGTAGTGGATGGCGCTCTCTCCTCCTCTCGCTCTCTCCTCTCCTGGGGCGTCGCCGTCCCGCGGCTCCCCTTCGTCGTCGTCCCTGCCCCGTGCGGTCTCCCTCCCCCTTTCCCCCTCGAGATCTCCTCCGGGCTCCTCGTCGGCGGCGAGGCCCGCCCCCTCCCTTTCCGCGACTCCCCCTCCCAATCCTGCGGCACTGGCTGCGCCCCGGGCCAACAGGTTTTGGGCTCTCGGTTCGGATGACTCCGGCTCTGACTCTGAGGCTCCCCCCCCCTCCTTCCCGTTCGGCTCTGGTGGGAGGGTCATCGGCTTTTCTGGCGGCGGGTCGCCGGCGAAAGTTTGCTTCGGGTGGTAGGGGCGGCCGGTCGGGTCGGGTGTGGATGCGGATGGTTGGTGTCGTGTCGCTCGTGGGCGCCGGCGCGCTGCCTCCTGGTCGTTGGATGCTTCTCTGGTGGGCCCTGGGATGGCTGTGACGACTTCGTCGGCATCTTCCCCTCCGGCGGCCGCCTGCCCTGGCTCATCTTCGGCTGTGGTCCCCGCTTCCTCGGCGGCGGCGGCGCCGGTGCCAACCCTAGATTTGGGATCGGGGCTGGTGCTGGTGCCCCGGGCCGGGGTGCGGGCTCCTTTGGCTGATATTGGGCCGGGTGGGCCTGTGCCGGTCCCTTTGTTGGGCTCCTCTGTTGATTTCCCCCCTCTTATCCGTGGCCCCTGGGCCGAGGCTGGCTCAGATTCAGCCCATTCTTGCTCCGGCACCCCTTGGCGAGCCCGGCCTGGCTGGTTCTCGCTATATATGGGTCCGGAAGGGTGCGGTCCCTCCTTTTCTAGGGTTTCCTGCCTCCTCCTCTAACTTGCGTCGGCTCCGTTTCCCTATCCGCTGCTTCGTCAGATCTTCTCCTCCTCCTTCCCTCCTTCTTCCCTTCGCGATGGTGGCTGCGATGGATCGCTCCCGCGGGTCCTCCAGTGAGGCTGTCTCCGGCCTCAAGCGGGGGCGTGACGGATCTGGTGACGCCGCTGCGGATCTGGAGTATGAGGCCTCGCTCCGTGCCAAGCTCCAGGCCTCGCGTGCGGGGGCCTCGACGGAGACGGCCGGTGCGTCCTCTCGTGCTTTTGGATCTGGGCCGGCGGCCCCTCCGCCTCTTGTGCCTGGTGCTCCGGTGACCGCGGTCGATCCCTGGGAGCAGGCGGCGCGGGGGAGTCGGGCGGGCTCCTCGGGGCCTTCCTCATCTTCCCCCTCGCTTGTCCCCCAGGGTGGTGGGCCGCCGCGGGCGCCGGCAGTGGCAGGTGGCGGTCCGTCTCGCTTCGTTCCCCGTGGCGCGTCGGGGGCACCATCCCGCCGCCCGTTCGGTGCTGCTGCGGGGCGTGGCTCCGGTGCTGGTGCTGGTGCTGGTTTCCCTAGTGATGGTATCCTCCCTCCGCCTCCCTCTCGTGGCGTTGGCCGCAACCCCCCTCACTCCCAGGTCTCCAACCCTATCCTTACCTACTTTGCGTGTCATCGTCCTGGCCACTTCCAGTCTCGCTGTGAAAATCCCCCGTTTTGCCTCATCTGTAGGGAGGACGGCCACCTCACGGTGGACTGCCAAAGCCGTGTCAAGCCTCCTTCTTTCATTCATTATGGGATCGGCCTCCCTGGTTGTTCTTTCTTTGCCCTTGACAAGGAGGTTCCTGTAGCTGCCCCCAACCCCTCGCTCTCCAATGTTGGTGTTATTTCAGTCCAGGACAAGCGCATCTCCCCACAGGCCCTTTTTGATGAACTTCGGTTGTGGGACGAAGGCGGGTGGGACTGGCAGATCCGCCAGCTATCTGAATTTGAGTTTGCTGCCACATTTCCCTCTAAAGAGAGTCTTCGCATGATATCTTCTTGCACCAGCTTCATGCTCCCTCTGAATCATCTTGTGGTGTCGGTCAAAGCCGCCTCCAATGGGTCAAAGGCCATTGCTTCTCTCTCTGATGTGTGGGTGCTAGTGGATGACGTTCCTCCTAACATGCGCACCTCGACCTTTCTGATGGCTTTTGGGGTGCTCCTTGGGAAACCCATCGAGGTTGATCAAGACTCGCTGTCTGTTCTTGGACCAGCTCGGCTTCGGGTCTGGTGCGTGGACCCGATCTGCATCCGTGGCTCTATTGATGTTTTTCCGGCGGCGGGTGGTGTCGTGGTTCTAAGCCTGACAGTAGAGTGGGGGGTAGGTATGGAGAGGCAAGGTCCTAGCTATGGAGAGGTTGTAAGCACAAAGGATGTACGAGTTCAGGCCCTTCTCGGAAGAAGTAACAACCCTACGTCTCGGAGCCCGGAGGCGGTCGAGTGGACTATGAATGTATGAATTACAAGGTGCCGAACCCCTCTGCCTGTGGAGGAGGGTGGCTTATATGGAGTGCGCCAGGACCCTAGCCAGCCCACGCAGGAGAGGGTTTAAGGTGAGTTAAGTCTGGGGCGTTACTGGTAACGCCCCACATAAAGTGCCTTTACTATCATAAAGTCTACTTGAT